CCTCGCTACTACAGTTCGGACTCGCGGAATTCCTTCCTCTTCGTTTTTATCACCGCAGTGTTCAAAAGGTTTGTTTTTTGAAAAACTCAGGTTAATACAATGAGTTTGGCGTGCAAGAGAATAGGTGAGATGTGCTGTCAGCCCAATCAAATTCTCTGGCACTTATGCTGAAAGCAAGCATGAAGTTGAGATAGCAATAGCTGTTTCACTCGGATTTGTTGGTGCAACTGGCCCCTCGGCAGAAACAGACTCAAAACAAAAACAGATAATTATAAGACAAAACGGTGTTCGGGACAACAACCCCAGAATCACCTGGTATTATATGCAAAGGGGACTGACTTGATACAACAAGACAGACCCTTAAGCAAAAAAGACTGACTCAAGACAAAGAGACAGACTCAAAACAAAAAAAACTGACTCGATATCCAAGCCAGGATTTACAAAACTCGGTTTCACCGATGCTCAAAAATGCGTGCCAGACGCTACATCCAAAATATACAAAATGTCGCCCGCAGGCGGTTCACTTTACATACTCGCAGTATCTGAGCCCTCGAAATCCAACAACTGAAAATACGCCGAACGCCGCCCGCAGGTGGTTCACTTCCTGATTACATACTCACAGTATCAGTATCCTCAAAATCCAATAACTGGGTAGTAACGGACTTGGCTGAGGTGGATGGGAGGATAACTTCGTTGTCGATCAAGTCTTGCACCTCATGGCAGAGGCGAAAACAATTGTCGGTAGCATGACCGGTTTGCTCGAAGGCGGAAACAACCATCGGTACTGTGGCCGGACTGTTGGTGGTACGCGCAATACAAGGTAGCATCATGCGTGGCGGGGAGATTCTTCGGGAATGGCCGGGGCTCCAAAGGTTTAAGATGCCCATTCTTCGCCAATATTAGCAATGCCCTAAACAAAGGCATGTAGAGGTCGTGAAAGACCCTGCGCCCTCGGGGCAGGTACTTTGAAGTTTGAGGATTCTTGCCAGAGGCGCTAGCGAAAGGGTCGGCTGGCACTGCCTTGGCTTTTTTATCCTTTCCCGGTGCAGGGTTGGGAACAACAGGAATTGTCTGGGCATGACGGGGCGCAAGCTACTGTCCTCAACCAGCAAGAGGTCCTCAATTAAACATGAAGAGGACCTCAAAATATGATGATTTACAGTTTGGGTCGGAGCCCAAAAATGCAAGAAACTATGGCAGTACTCTCAATCACCTTGCGAATCCACACCCAAATTGAACCAACCCGATATGCCTCTTCCACCATTGTCATCACTTTGAAATTTTCTTGCCCAACATTGAATCCACAATGCTGATGTCGACTCCATGACAATTAGCCACTCCGGAATCCACCAAAACTTCAGGCCCAAGTTCTCCAGAATCTACCAAAGAACACCTCTCTCTTTTGTGTACGCAATAGAAAAAACAACACCTTGATGAATTCAATATGAAAAACCAACATGATTCGTGATTTGAAGTAGATTTAATTGCATCAATCCCTAAATAAACAAGACTAACAATCTAAATCATCTAGCACGTACGAAAGTGATTTAGATTATTATTTCACAATTGGTGGTGATGCTGTCTTCTCCACAGTCGATACCAAAAATGAGCTTGACATCACTGCTTCTGAGTTTCATTTCCTTTTTGCCAAGTACAAATGATCTTTTTCTTTTGTTGTAGAGTGTTGTCATTTCTGCTACAATGGAATTGTAGCATCTGCACCAAGAGGCCTTCAGTTGTGTTGAGGAGAGAGCATTTATAAGGGGCCAAAAAGGGGTTTTTTGCAGCTCTGTCTGTTGGGCTTTTGTGAATTTGACCCCCTTCAACAGTTTGATTACCGTTCCGATGTTGGAACGATAATTAAATTGTTGGACTCTCTTTGCAGGTTTTCTCTTGGCCAATATGTTCTTGCATCTTTTCTTTCTGCTGTTGTTTTGCATCATGAGCACCCTCTTTTTTGTTGTCATTCTTCTTCTCTTTTTCTTCATCGGTACCCTGTGTTGGTTTGGGTACATCAGCAGCAATTTGTGTTTTGTTTCTTGCATCTTCTTTAGGTTTGGTCATTGGTTGGTTTTCAAAATCTGGGTCATGTGCTTGTTTTCTTGATTTTTGTTTGATTCTCTTGACCATGGATCTTTGTTGGGGACTGCCAGTTTTTTTGGTGGACATTTCCTTCAATTGATCTTCTTTTTTATGCAATTCAGCCATGAATTTTTGTTCCATTTCTTGCATTTGTGCTCTCAGGGCTGATATGAGCTTGTCCTTCCTGATGAAACCGCATAATTTTGCAGTTTTAAAAATTATTAGAAACAAGCTGATGAAACTGTAAAATTTTGCAGTTTAAAGAATTATTAGAAACAACCTTTACTGTATGAAAATATATGCAACCAGAAACAAGTAGACAAACAATCAGAAGAACAACCACAATAATAATAACAAGAAGAAGAGCAACAACAACATCAATCATTTTCACCATAACCATGATAACCAGAAAAAGATCATTCCCAAAAGTATATAAAGTACTTGTCACATGTTAAAAAAGAAAAATAAAAAAAAATAAAAAAAAGGTTCAAAGATATGTTCCCTTGAATATTTGTATTGTTAAGAAGTTTGTTCATTGTTTCTATGGTTTGGTATGTTTTGTCAACATTTGGTAGTGCTCGAGTTTCCAGGATCGGTTCTCATCATTGAGGAATTGATTGATGATTTGTGCTCGAAATTTGACCCACTCAGTTGGACGAAGTTTTTTCTGCACAGGTTGCCAGTTGACATATTGGTTGATAACATTGCAGATGGCGATTGCACTATCATTCCTGCAGTGTTTGAGATGAAGTTAATTAGTTAGGTGAAACTGCAAAATTTAGCAAATTGGAAGATTAGTTTATGGATTTTGTATCTTACGAGTGTGGGGTTTGTTGTGGGCATTCCTCAATTGATGCAATTTCTGTCTTGCACTCTTGAGATGATAACATGTTTCCCTGTTTGCTGAGTAATGCTTTATTCCATCTCAGTTGATGTTGTTGCTACAAAATAGTTAGTGGGCGTTTTTGTTAGTTATAGTGATGAGTTGAGATGTTTGTAAAGGAATGGAACTAAGTATGAAATTTTATTTTAACTTACAATTTGCTTTGCAATTTCAAAGTGCTTGTTGTGGCAATCTTTTGCTGGTCTCAAAGAGTCATAGTGTCTCCATATTCCATCAGCATTGTCAAAGACCACAATTGTCCAATGGTTGTCGTGGTTGATTGGGAAATGGATATATCTGTTTTTCATTGCTTCTGGAAAATGGCTGTCCATCAGTTTTTCTCTCAGTGCTTGATCTTGGTTTTGTAGTGGAGTCTGTAAGTTATATATATGTTTGAAATATGTTATAAAACTATGTAGTAATACATGTTGAGAAAGTAGAAAATTTTGCAGTTGTAAGGTATGTTAAGTTTTGCTTACATTGATGAGTGTTGAGAAAACGTAAGATCTTCCTGCATATGGATTGCTTGCAAAGACTAGATCGTTTTTCTCAAATTCTTCAATGGTTGGTTGGAGTGCCAATTGCTTTTCTGAGAAGGCATCAATGACCTGAAACATGTTATATATGGGAATGTGTTAGGTTTGTGGAATAGGTTATTGAATATGTACAGAAACTGTAAAATTGTGCAGTTGGAGACCTACATTCCCATATAAGGGTTCCCTGTTGGTCAATCTGCATATATCTGAAAAGTATATGCAGTTTTCATCTTTGCTGCCAAACCAGACACAAGCACTTGATTGTGTGTTGTTGATGAGTTGAATTTGGTCTTGGTCTTTTTTGGATAGGCTATGTCAAACCTTGTTTGTTTTGCAACATGAAATGGCGAGTGGCTTGTTTGGGATTGATTCTTCATTGAAATCATCATCACTTTCCAATACTTGAAGTTTTGTCTTTTCTTGATTGGCATGCTCTTTTGGGTTTGTTTTAGCAGCAACTGCTTTCTCTTGGCCAATATGTTCTTGCATCTTTTCTTTCTGCTGTTGTTTTGCTTTATGAGCACCTTCTTTTTTGTTGTCATTATTCTTCTCTTTTTCTTTATCGGTACCCTGTGTTGGTTTGGGTACATCAGCAGCAGTTTGTGTCTTGTTTCTTGCATCTTCTTTGGGTTTGGTCATTGGTTGGTATTCAAAATCTGGGTCATGTGCTTGTTTTCTTGATTTTTGTTTGATTCTCTTGACCATGGATCTTTGTTGGGGACTGCCAGTTTTTTTGGTGGACATTTCCTTCAATTGATCTTCTTTTTTACACAATTCAGCCATGAATTTTTGTTCCATTTCTTGCATTTGTGCTCTCATGGCTGATATGAGCTTGTCCTTGTCGTCCTCTTTGGTTGGTGTTTGTGGTTGGTCATGACCTATAAAAATGTTGGATTGTGTTTTGGTTAGTTTAATGAAATTTTGCAGTATGCTTTAGTATTAGACAATAGTTTACCTTGTGTATGAAATATGTCAAATTTCTCTTGCAGTTCTTCTTGTTGGTTTGTCAGTTCTTGTTCATTGACTTCTTCTTGTTGGTTTGTTTGTTGTTCTTCTTGTTCTTGTTGTTGGTCTTCTTCTTCATCAAGGTCTTCTTGTTAATCACCTTTTGTTTGTTGTCTTTCTTCTGCTTTATCATTGTCTTGTTGTTCATCAAGTTCTTCTTCTTTTTCTTTTTCTTGTTGTTGTTGTTGTTGTTGTTGTTGTTGTTGTTGTTCTTCTTCTTCTTCTTCTTCTTCTTCATCAGTTTCTTCTTCATCAGTCACTTGATTTTTTTCATCATCACTCTTTTCTTCTTGTTCATCACTTTGTGGTTCTTCTTGTGGTTTTTGCTTTCTTTTCTTTTCTTTTTGTTGTGCTTCTTGTTCTGATTGTGATTCTGATTCTGAATGATGTTCTTCTTCGAGAAAATCATCCTCATCACTGTCTAGAAGTGTTCTTTTTTTTGTTGCTTTTGTTTTCTTTTTTTGCTTATTGTCCTTTTTGTGGTCTTGTTTCTTTGCTGAAGAGTCTGTTGATGTGCTTAACAAAGGAATGAATTTGGTTTTGTAACAACAAAAGGGACGGAGTTGATTTTGTGAAAACAAAAGGAACATGGAACTTGTTTTGTGAAATGGGAAAAGTATTTTGAAATACGTATGAAAGTTGGATTGTTGTTTCATGAGTGTTGAACACACATGTGTGGGATTGTATCTTAAATTACCCTGTAAATGTTGTTGTCGGGTTTGTGGTCTCATATTAATTGAGTCTTTAATAGATGTACTAAATATTTGCATCTAGAGGTTTTGTCCTTGGTCATCGGTGGAGGATGGCACGGTTGAGTTGAATGGTCGTGTATGCATTACACCATTGTTGATTGAACAATTTTATGTGATGAAATTCTGAGATGCATTATATATGTATACTTGTTAGGGAGGAGAGAGGGGTTGTACTCCAGTGTGTGTGAGAAGATAGGGGATGGACTCCACACACCTGTGTGTTTATATACCTTAACACATTGTTGGTATCTGGATAATTTATATGTATGTTTTACATATGTTGGTTATGCCTTGTGTGTGGTGATTGTTGATGTTATACCCTGCGCTGATAATCAGAGGTACCGTTACCTTCCAGCTAGCGCCTGGAGAATTGGAATGGAAGCTCAAAATCCTTTGGTCTTGCATAGGATTTGGTGGTGATGCTGTCTTCTCCACAGTTGATACCAAAAATGAGCTTGACATCACTGCTTCTGAGTTTCATTTCCTTTTTTCCAAGTACAAATGATCTTTTTCTTTTGTTGTAGAGTGTTGTCATTTCTGCTACAATGGAATTGTAGCATCTGCACCAAGAGGCCTTAAGTTGTGTTGAGGAGAGAGCATTTATAAGAGGCCAAAAAGGGATTTTTTGCAGCTCTGTCTGTTGGGCTTTTGTGAATTTGACCCCCTTCAACAGTTTGATTACTGTTCCGATGTTGGAACTATAATTAAATTGTTGGACTCTCTTTGCAGAGACTGCTGCTTTTTTTTTTTTATGCCTTGGTTTTTGTTTTGGGAGTTGATTGGCTTTCTTGGAGCTTTCTTTTTTTGGTTGGAGGATCTTCTTGTTTTTTTGTTGGCTTTCTTTTGTTTGTTTTTGTTGTGGTTGGTGTTTGTTGTGTGGGTGGGGTCTGTGGTGTAGTTCTTGGGCTTTTTCTTGTAGGTGGTGTGGTTGTTTTGTGGGTTTTTTGGTGGGGTCTGTTGGGTTTGGTTGTTTTTGGGTGTGGTGGTTTGGTTTTTTGTGGATGGGGAGATGGTGGTGGCATTTTAGTGGATACAGGAGATGGACTTTCAAAAGGGGAGATGGTTAAATCCTTGATTGGATTTGTGGGCATATGGGTTTGTTTCTTCCAATATCTTCCAACAGCTATTTCTAAAAAAATGAAAGCGACAGCAGGGTATGAGTAATATAGTGACAAAACTGTATAATTTTGAAGTTTTATATGCAGTTTAATATGAAGTTATATGTATTTTGTTGGTAACAGTTACGAAACTGTATAATTTGACAGTTTGATTTGCACTTTATAATAAGTTAGCTATTTGTTTTGAGTAGTGGTTAAACTGTGTAATTTTGCAGTTTCATTTGCAGTTTGAATAAATTTAGATATGTTACTTGTATAGTGATGAAATGAAACACTATGATGTTGCAGTTTTTATAAGGAAACAGTATGAACAATAGGAATAGCCCATTGTATTTTGTAAAAAGCAACAATAACAACGAGAAGATTAAAAATTCAAAAATAAGAATAAGAGAAGCCAATATTGAACAACAAGAATAAGAATAAGGTGTTGAATGTGTAAAAACAGTGTTTAGAATGCTGAAAAACAGGGGACTAGAATGTTTGAAAATAGGGGATTATATATAAAAGAGGGTTTATACATTTGGAAGTATGTAAAATGTGTATATACGAAATATGAAAGAATGATGTACAAATGTGAATGAAAAATAATGAATAGGTGAAGAGAGATGTTACTTTTTTTCCCCATTTTTGTGAATCGGAAGTCAGGAACTATGAAATCTCTTCAGAGTGGTGATGGTTCTTCGTGTTCTTGAGAGTCGCCGATTGGAGAATATAAACGGCTTGGTGTTGTGTCGAAGATGAATGGTTTGGTTTTGTGGTTAGGGTAGGGTTTCAGAGGGAATGGAGTCGAACGGAGGAGAGATGGAGGATTGAGAATGCAATTTTGAGCGGCGGAGATGTAACAGTGTACTGATCAGACTGAGATGATTGTGGGTGATGAAGATGAACGGTTACGTTTTCTGGTTAGGGTTAGGGTTTCAGAGGGAATGGAGTTGAACGGAAGAGAGATGGAGGATTGAGGAGTCGATTTCGAGCGGCGGAGACGTGACAGTGTACTGATCGGGACGTGGGTGATGGTTGCGCGTGTGTAAATTGGATGATATATTGTGGGTATTTTCGTCTTATTGTTAATTTGAGGACTTAATGGAGTATTAAATTTGTTTTGGGCCTAAACGGGGTATGATATGTTGGGCTTGGTTTGGGTCAGTTCCCCAAAATTTAATTGTTTTTTATAAGGCCCACTTTGATAAAGGCCTTTTTTTTTAGTATAATAATAAATAAAAGTTCACATTGAAAAGGGTTCTATAAATTTTAAAAAACTTATAACACTATAAGAAATTAGCCCTTTAAAGACTAATATGTAAGGACTAATTAAATTTGGTCGCTAAAAATAATCTTTTAGGGACAAATTTAAATATATAATAATTTACTTACAAGATTGTAAAAATAATTATTAATATTCTCACTTTATTTACATAATTTTTTTAGACTAATAAATTTGGTTGCTAATATACTTATAGAATTTTTTTAGACTAATAAATTTGGTTGCTAATATATTATTAACATTTAGGGACCAAATATTTTCGCCATTATCAACTAAAAACAATTTGAGACCAATTATTTTCATCATTTTAACAATTGAAAAGTCGGGCTCTCGTTCTTCACTTCAGCCCTAACTTGCTCATTCTCTCTCTTTCTCTCTCTCCGTAATCGATCTTCATACCTGTAAGAGCTCCAAGGTAGATTGAGCTCCACATTTGAAGATTAATAGTTGTTTTTTCAATTAACAATTGAAGATTGAGCTCAATCTTCAATTGTCAATCTTCAATCTCTCGCACCTCGGTTTGCTCAATCTTCAGCCCTAAAGTCAGGAGCTCCAAGGCAGATTGGGAGCTCAATGTTCCTCAAATTTTGGTGTCTCTCTCTCTCTCTCTCTCCGTAATCGATCTCCATAATCGACCTGTAAGAGCTCCAATTCGAACTTTCAATTTCTTATCGTAATCGATCTGTGTTTTACATAGATTGAACTTTCAATTTCTTATCGTAATCGATCTGTGTTTTATAGCGATCCCGGATTTACCCTTGTTGTACAGTGATCCGGACATATATCCGTGGATGTTGGTAGTTGTTTATTATCTTGTTTACATCCTTTTTACTTAGTATTTGAGTTATGGGATGTGTTGGGCAGGTTTGTTACAGGTTGGTTGAGGTTAGAAACCAAAACTAGTTGCCCAGATTTTGACCTGTCCGCTCGAGC